CCGTCCGTCCGTCCGTCCGTCCGTCAACATTTGGCTAAGGTCAACGATAACTCAGGAACCGTTTGACCCACATGTTTCAAATTGCATATAGTTGTTACTCCTATGGGAGAGGTTTGAATGTCCTATTTTGGAGCACGCCAGTCGACCTACTTTCGAGCGACGTCCACTTTTTGGCAAAAATGGAAATGGCCATAAGTCAGTTCAGGTTTAACGGATTTTACTCAATTCTAGTATGTGGGTGGCCAAAACATATCACACGGGTTTTTATATTTTTTTAAATTATGCAAATTAGGTAGATTTTGGCAATTTCACTATGCATTTCAGTGTCTGCCTACGGTCAACGCCATCAGATTGTATGCCAACAGATCTGAAACATTTATTTTCACATCAAAAATTACTCGTATATCATCATTATCAAGAGTATAATATAATGGGAGATATGCTATATAATGGGAGTTCTCCCATATATACTCTTGCTTTATATAGAGGGGGGGCTCTTCTATCACACCCAAGGTGAGCTACAGTGTCATTGACACTTTCATTTCTTTCCTCTTCCCTTTCATCTTCTTTGCTTCCTCTTCTTTCCTTTCATCTTCTTTCCTTCCTCTTCTTTCCTCTTCTTCCCTTCCTTCCTCTTCTTCCCTATCATCTTCTTTCCACCCTTCCGAGACTGACGCATCTACGCGGCAAGTAGGGGGCACCTACCTGTCAGGGCCCTCCCTCCCCACCCTCCCTTACCACCCTCCTCCCTCCGACTTATCGTCTTGGCGGGCGGGTCGCCTAGCGTGGGTTCAATTGACGAGACGATATTACGATTAGATTTTTTCTTACTAGTAGAGACTTTGACGCGCGGCGTTGCGGTCACACTATCCGTCGCGTTGGTGACAGTTTTTGACATGTGACGACATCGCGGTCGCGACGTGGGGTGACGATTTCCGATGTACAGTGTTGACGTAGTTTTTGACGCCCGACGGTGACGACGGACGCGGCGCAAAGGGTGGCAGTCTTGACGTGTGACGTAGGGACAACATAGTTGTGACGTATTTGACATGTGATATGGACATATTTTTGTGACAGTGTTGACTTGTGTCGTGAACATAGTTGTGATAGTTTTTGACGCGCGACTCGCGGAGACGTGGTTATGACATGAAAGATTTGACGTCCTATGTTGACAGAACTGTGACAGATTTAGAATATGATGTGGACATAGTTGACGTGACAGATTTGACATGTGATGTAGACATAACTGTGACAAGTTTGACATGTGATGTAGACATAATTGTGACAAGTTACACATGTGACGTGGACATAACTATGCTAGATTTGACATCTGACAGGGACAATTGTGACGGATTTACAATATGACGTGAACGTAGTTGTGACAAGTTTGACATGTGATGTGAACATAACTGTGACAAGTTTGACATGTGACGTAGGAATAATTGTGACAGATTTGACGTATGACGTGGACATATTTATGACAGATTTTACATGTGATGTGAACATAACTGACAAGTTTGACATGTGATGTGAACAAACTGTAACAAGTTTGACATATGATGTGGACATAACTGTGACAAGTTTGACATGTGATGTGGACATAACTGTGACAAGTTTGACATGTGATGTAGTAATAATTGTGACAAGTTTGACATGTGATGTAGTAATAATTGTGACAAGTTTGACGTATGACGTGGACATAATGGTGACAAGTTTGACATGTGATGTAGTAATAATTGTGACAAGTTTGACATGTGATGTAGTAATAATTGTGACAAGTTTGACATGTGATGTAGTAATAATTGTGACAAGTTTGACGTATGACGTGGACATAATGGTGACAAGTTTGACATGTGACATGGTCAGTACTGTGCTAGATTTGACACATGACGTGGACGTAATGGTGACAAGTTTGACATCTGACATGGACAGTACTATGCTAGATTTGACATATGACTGGTTAGACATGAGACATGGACAGTACTATGCTAGGTTTGACTTACAACTTGGACATATGACAGGTTAGACATCTGACATGGACAGTACTATGCTAGATTTGACATATGACTGGTTAGACATGTAACATGGACAGTACTATGCTAGATTTGACACATGACTCAGACATATGACAGGTTAGACATATGACATGGACAGTACTATGCTAGATTTGACACATGACTTGGACATATGACAGGTTAGACATGTGACATGGACAGTACTATGCTAGATTTGACACATGACTCAGACATATGACAGGTTAGACATATGACATGGACAGTACTATGCTAGATTTGACACATGACTCAGACATATGACAGGTTAGACATGTGACATGGACAGTACTATGCTAGATTTGACACATGACTCGGACATATGACAGGTTAGACATATGACATGGACATTGGACAGTACTATGCTAGATTTGACACATGACTCGGACATATGACAGGTTAGACATATGACATGGACAGTACTATGCTAGATTTGACACATGACGTGCACACAATGGTGACAGTTTTTGACCGCCGGACGGTGACACATCGCAACACGTGTTGACGATGCAGCCAAACGCGCGACGGTGACAATTTTGATGTGACGCGTTGACGATGACGGACGCGTGACGCGACACTGGCGGCCAACATGCCGCTGGGCCTCACAGGGAATGTAAATACGATGGAAAACATGAAGAAACATTTTGTACACAAGAATAATAATCATGTTTCTACATAATAATAATAAATAAGAATGTAATACTTTGCCACAGTGAGGAGA